AGATCCACTGTGGGGTAGGAGCAGAGGGGAGCAGCGTGGGAGTCGGGGAGTGGGGAGCTGTGCAGCCGGCCGGGAGGGGTGGGACGCGGGAGTGAGCGGAGGGGAGACGCCAGGGCCCGGGGCGAAGTGGGGCGGGGCGTGGGCAAGAAGAGGATGGTAGAGGTGCGGGTAGTTGGGAGTAGTAGGACCCCTTGGAGGAAGAATCTGATGGTGAGAGAGCCTCCGGGCGAAGAGTGGGCCCAGATGGTCCTGGAGATTCTGGGTGACCAGAGGTTTGGGGCAGGTACCCCAGTGGCCATGGGGTCTCACGTGAGGTTTAGCGTCTCCAGAAATAGGGCTCCTGGGCTTTGGCGCTGGCGCACTTGGGAAGACCGGAAAGGATCTGGGAGAGATGAGGTCGCTTAAGGAGTTCCAGGGGTAGGGTACAGTTTGAAGGCTATGTAGATCTGGGAGAGGCAGAGAGGCGGGGGCTTGGTGTGTGAGGGCAGCGTTTGAGATCCCCACGGAGCCTAGGTGCAAATGGGGCAGGTGCCTGTCAGGCTTCGGTGACTGAGCCCGAAGGCTGGTGAAGGTGGCTTCTCTGGGGGGTGGTCCAGGACGCCCCTCTGAGAAGGTGGCATGTGGCGAGGTTTGGCTGTGAACATCGGTCAGTCCCCCTCATGTCTGCAGCAGCCCAGCCCCTACCCCTACCAGAACTCCAGGTGGCACATCTTGGGCAGAAAACACTGGGTGAATAAAGACTGCAGTGGGAGCCGGGCGTGGTGGCACACGCCTGTAATCCCAGCACTCGGGAGGCTGAGGCAGGAGGATCGCTCTGAGTTCGAGACCAGCCTGAGATACATAGTGAGTTCTAGGCCAGTCTCCACTACATAGTGAGACCCTGTGTCAACTCCCCCCCAAAAAACAGACTGCAGTGGGGACCTGCTGGACTGGCATGTGGCAGGACAGCGGGGAGCCCAGTGTAGCGAGAGGGAAGGAGGCTGGGGTTTTGCCATGCATGCCATGGGAGGGGGCTGTGTAGAAAGACAGGTCTTAGCCAGGGTCTCAGGAGGACCCTCTGGCTGTCCAGGGCAGGAGAGTCCCTGTCAGGTCCGGTGAGCTGTCGTGGAACACTCTGTCTCAAGGAATCACCTTCCCCACCCAGAGGTCCTATTCCTGGGAGGACAGTTGGGAGGCAGGCTGGGGAAGGCACGTTGTTGCCTTGCATCTGAGTGGAGTTCAGAGATAGAGTGCTCAGCTCAGAGCTCAGGTGCACCCTAGTGCAGAGATGGTAGAGCTGCTGCGTCCGGGAGGGGACCCAGGGATGAGGAGGGGGAGGCGGAAGAGCCAGGGATGGCAGGAGAGGACCCTGCAGCTGGCTGACACTGCCTACCCTCTGGGCAGACAGGAGAAGAAAGCTGTGTCACATCACAGCCTGGGGCCAAGTACGGGCCGAAGTGCTAGGCCATGGAGGTTTCTGGGTGTGGTGACAGGGCACAGTGCCTTTATGGCTGTGAACCCCCACAGGATTGTGCAGAGCTGGTTCCTGAGTGCCCTGAGAGTGCATGGGGCACATGTACTTGATTTTTTTTTTTTTTTTTTTTTGTACCAGGGATTGAACCCAGGACCTTGTGTTTGCAAGGCAGGCGGTGGCACCACTGAGCTAAATTCCCAGCTACATACTTGATATCTTATGACCCGGTCTAAGTTGTTAAGCTGCCTGCACTAGGCTGGAACTTGTGACCCTCCTGCATTTAGCTTCCCAGAGTGCTGGGATGACAGGCACGTGCTGTTGTGCCTGGCTGTTGTAGGCCTTTATATAGATCGGGATGCAGAGGCTTGGCTGGGGCAAGACTTGTCCAAAGGGTCAGAGTCACCTTCTCCTGCCCCCATGGCCTCTCTGCCTGTATCAGTGCAGGAAAGCCAGGTCCATTTCCTGGGACATGTGTGTCCTTTTTTTTTTTGTTTTTGTTAGGGATGTGTGTCTGATGGGGCAGGTGGCCAGAGCTGGGAGGAGCAAATGCTGTCCCACACTGGCTGCCTCAGGAGGAGGCTCACTGCCAGTCTCTGTCCAGGGAGAAGGCCCCCAAGGAAAAGGCGCGCCAGCCAGCCTCCCAGCAGCCCCGCCAGGGACCCACCGATGAGGCACAGATGGCGGCTGCTGCCGCCTTGGCCAGGCTGGAGCAGAAGCAGACTAGGGCCCGAGGTCCCACATCGCAGGACTTCATCCGGAACCAGGGTGAGTGTTGGCCACCCTTAGGCCAGAGTGTGGGACCTGGTGCTTGGGTGGAAACGGGAACTTGACGAGCATCTCGAGGGCAGTTTCATTCACAGCTGTGGGAGGTCCATGGAGGATGTGCAGTCGTGTGGGCAGCAGTGTGTCTGACATTGGGGAAAGGTGACAGGGACAATTCTTGAGGAGGGGTGTGCTGGACCTTGGAGGAGGACAGTGAGGGACAGACACAGGCAAAGCTCGTGGGAGGAAGTGGCCCCTGGCCCCTAGGAGCATGGGCCAGGGAGTGGGCTGCCTGGGTCACCGGCCCGGCCAGGGACTAAGGGCCCTGGGGACAGGACAGGGGCCTTCATCCCATCCCATTTCTGTGCTCTTTTCAGTGAGGAAAGAACTTCAAGTGGAAGCGACTATTAGCAGCAGCCCGGCGGCCCCAGGGACCAACATGGTAAAGCAGCTGCCAGTGGCACCCTGCAGACGACAGGATGTGTGGGAGGGCTGTGTGCGGAGTAGGGGTCCTCACTGTCTCCCCCCGGGGGAGGCTCCAGCATGGTTGCGAGCCCCATTGAAGGGCAGAGACTGGTTGGGCTGCACTGTGTTATTAGGACTGTAGGGAGCGGAGGAAGCTACACCAGCCAGGTTAGCTCAGGTTCCTTCCTGTGTCCCCGGAGGCCGGTGGGGGCGCTACTCCTACATTTCAGGTTCAGAGGGATGAGCTGGCTGCCCTCAGTCACATACCTTGGCAAGACCGGGACACAGTCTAGAACTTGAGGCACAGGGCAAGATCGGGATTGTGCAGGATGTGGAGCTGCTGGGGGTTTCTCTTCCCCCTTGCCGAATTATGAGGCCGCAGGGAAGGCAGGGATGTTTTACAGACCAGGACACCAAGAAGCCCTTAGAGGAAGGCCTTCAGGGGCCAGGGATTTAGCTCAGTGGTTCCACTGCCTGCTCACAAGCACAAGGACCTGAGTTCGATTTCCATGCCAAAAAAAAAAAAAAAAAGCCTGTTCATTAACCTCACTTGTGAACAGTGAAACGAGGAAGGGCTTCAGCAGCTTGGCCAGGGTGACCCTGGCTAACGAGTACAAGGGACAGCACTGGGGCCAGTGTCTACCCTAAGGGGTGTGCTCTACACTGTGGCTCGGGAGAGCTCTGACCACAGTCCAGGCAAAGATACTTCTGCCTGCAGGTTTCTGGGCCCAAAGAGGAAGATTCCACCCAGCCGCCAGTGTCTGGCGTATACTTCACCTGCCCACTCACAGGGGCCACCCTGCGGAGGGACCAGCGGGACGCCCACATCAAAGAGGCCATTCTGTTGGTGAGTGCTCGCCCCTGGAGCCCATGCTGCCCCCAGACCCCAGGAGCTACAGGGCCTTCTGGGTCCTACTGAGGAAAGCGTTTGCTACACTCACACTAAAGTGACTCTTCCATGCTTTTCCTAACATCGCCTTTGCTTTGTGTTCTGTTATTTTGCCTGTTTGAATGTTTGGAAGCTTGAGCCGAGCTAGGATGAATCCCCACGTACAGTACAAGGTGTGGAGCTGCCTCCTCCCAAGACCTGTTCAGTTTTACTCAGCAGAAGCACCTGTGCTGCTGAGAGACATGAAGTGTGACCTTCGTCACTAGCCAGCTGTGATCCCCACAAGCCGCTGCCCTCCTCTTTGTCATCCAGCCTGGGTCACTGCCACGGCTGGCCTGTGGGCTGCAGGGGAGAGCGTGGTATAGCCCGGGTGCCCTGTCCTTGGGTTCCTGCTGACATCTGGGGCTTCCAGGGTTCTAGCTGCGACTGCCTCTCCTCCAGGGGAGCAGTTAGGCCCAGAAATGGGCCATCCCCAGTTCTGTCCAGACGTCAGGGGCCACAGACCCATGTATATTCCCTGTGCCACCGGCCTGCTGTGCGGGACTTGCTGTGCTGTTTGAGGGACTTGCCACCTCTGTGTACCGTGATCCCACAGCCGAGAGCGTGGCCTGGTAGGCTGCGTGATGGTGACAGGTGTGGTTGCCCAGGCCTCTAGGGCTCAGGGCTGGAGTTACCGTGGTCCTGAAGCCAGAGCTCTGGCCACATCGGCCCCCAGAGTCAGCCAAGGCAAACTTGTTTCTTTCTGCCGGTGCTGGGGATCGAACCCAAGGCCTATGTATGCTAGGCAGGCCCCAGCTCCAGCCTTGTCCCCTTTCCTGTTTGGTCACCAGAGGGGTGAGCAGCTGGGAAGCAGGGCTGGGTCCCCACAGGCTTCCCTTGAACACTGCCCCGCCCCAAAGCACCACCAGCATGGTTGTGGTCAGCACCCCTGTCCCCAGGCAGCTGTGTAGCCTGGGGCCTCAGTCTGCCTCCCTCCCCAGCATTTCTCCACTGACCCTGTGGCTGCCTCCATCATGAAGATACACACGTTCAACAGAGACCGGGACAAGGTGAAGCTCGCCGTGGATACTATCGCCAAGTGAGCGAGCCCTGGGGAGGGGTTGGGCCTCAGTTTACCTGTTGGTGAGACAGAGGCTCTGAGGAATTGGGGCCGCCCTTGTGGGGCATGCAGGGCCATATGAATGGGGCAGGGTCTGGTGAGCGGTCAGGTGGGCCTGGACCTGCCAGCTGCTCACCAGCCCCCAGGTGACATCTGGCTCTGTCCATAGGGCAGGGAGGACTACTGGGGGACCCCGGTGGGGACATCTGTTCCGTGGGGCATCCACAGGGTGACTTTTAACTCCAAGGGTAGGATCAGAAGCCCAGGCACGAGTGGGGCTGTGCCCTGTGCTGTCCTCCCCAGGTACCTGGACAACATCCACCTGCACCCGCAGGAGGAGAAGTACCAGAGGATCAAGCTGCAGAACAAGGTGTTCCAGGTGGGCCACACCCGACCTGAGCGCTGCAGGCCGAGTGCAGGTTCTGGGGGGCTCGTCCTCCTCGGCCAGTGACCCACCTCCGACTGGGGGCGGGGGCGTTTCATGCAGACACAGACTTGCTCCTTGGAGTTGGGGGTGCAGCCGAGGCGCCCTCCTCTGCAGCATGCACCCTCTGTGCCTCTCAGAACGCGTGTTTGGGGCCGGGCATGGTGGCAGAGGGAGTGTGAGGCCAGCCCGGGCAACTCGGCGAGAGCGGGTCTCCAAGACCCAAGCGGGAGGAGGAACAGCCCGGCCTGTTCGCCGGTGTGACCGGCCCCTCCCGACCCCCAGGAGCGCATCACCTGTCTGGAAGGGACCCAGGAATTTTTTGAGGCCATTGGGTTCCAGAAGATGCTGCTGCCCGTCCCGGATCCGGGTGAGCAGAGGGGACGGGTGGCCGGAGCCAGGGCCGGGGCGCGGGCGGTGCGGTGACCCGCGTGTGTCCTCGCAGAGGGCGGGCAGGAGGAGTTCTACGTG